ACCTTACATGTTGTCCCTGCCGTAGGTGAATTTGCCTTGCTCGTTCAGAGGACCTGCCTGTCCCTCTTTGCAGAGGCCAAGGGCCTCTGTCGTGATCAGCTCATTGGCAGAGAAGCAGTCGTGGAGCTCCACAACCTATCGGCTATAACCTCCAGTATCACAGGCAGCGTAATGTTGTGTAACCATATATGTAATGACTTGCGTTAGCTACGTTTCCATCTCACTGATATGCATTTCTAGACATAGGGATCAACAACCAAGCACGAGGGCCTTGCCCTCCCCCCTAATGGTCCTGGATGTTAGTAGGGCATGTCCCCTTTGTACGTGTCTACCTGGAAGTCTTTCATCCTGAGGTTAGTTTGATCCAACAACCCTGCTATGGCCTTCCTCGTCATGTCTCTGCCGACTACATCCATACAGCTCTTGGTAGTAAAGGTAGCTGGTGTATCGGTTACCATAGACATACCCAATACTTCCACGGACTGATCGATTAACCTAAAGTAGATATAAGTGATATTGAGCATTGCCAGATGAGAAACGCTACAAACCCTCTAACCAGCACTCTCGACCGCACACAACCCATGTTGCAGTCAAATTTGTGAGAATGCAGGTCCTTTTCAATACCTAGGGCATACCCGTATTTCCTAACCGCATTATCGCTCATCAGCACACAAGCAGCAGCGCCGTCAGAGGTAGGGCAGCATTGTAGCTTAGTGAGAGGCCCAAAGACCTTCGGGGAGGCCAGTATCTGATAAAGTATTGATACGCCCTTGCCGGAGAATAGACTACTACCTGTTCAACTGTGTAATGATCACAGAATTGACTATAGGGATTGTTGACAGAGTGGTTGTGATTCTTGCTAGCTATGCATGCCAGTTGTCTCTCTGTTGTACCGTACCTACAATACACACATGTAGTACATCAACAATGGATGATTCGAGTGAGCAATGCAAAACCTATCGTACTTCTCCATATGTTCGATACCAGCATTGCCGAAGAGTTGTGGAGGCCCTGGTGCTGCTGCGAAACCACGCATAGATGCCATCTCTACCATATGGCGATCAAGAGGGTCCGTTCTGAAATGTCCAGACCACTCAAATGTCACAGGGTCGTCAACCTCCACCTAGAGCACGCACGGCGACGGACAACTTGGAACAACAATCAGGACTGATAATCAATAACCCCTCTGTGATGATTTCAATAGGCGACCCTTTCCATTGACAGACCAAGGGCACTGTACGGAAGTCGGGAACAACAATCCCTGGAGGCGGACACACACATTCTACGCCTTGCCTAGAGGCTATCGCCATCCCCCTCAGGTCATTCAAAGCGGGTAGTATGTGACGATCAGACTCACCTATCCGTGTATTTAGCACTAAGGCTGCCCTTCTCCATCTTCTCAAACCCCACGACTAGGCATACATCGGCCATGCCGGCCAGGATGGCCTGACGCCCTAGATACATAGCCGATGCCCCAGTACTGAGCAATGCAATATTGCAGGCCTTCGAAGAAAGCCAACTACCTGCAGTTGTTGTTTACATTCACAACAGGTATACCGGTACAGCCAATGGCTTGATAGATGACTCGTTGACCACATGTACTATCACCATACACGTATCCAGCATATGCCGCATCGATATCTGGAAGACTAGTGCTGGGGATGTTATTACTAAACACCTACCTTGACCAGATATCCCAGCGTCTCTGAGGGCTCTTTGTATAGCCAATACCCCTAGATCGACATAGTCTATATCTTTCCTGAGGAGACTCTCTGAGTAATGATAGTTGCTCACGGTGGCACACCTTCCAGGTTTGATGAATGGGGTCATGCCTACCCCAGTAACGTAGACCTTAGGTTTAGTCATACTATAGAAAAGTTCACAACTCTACCTAAAGTCGCAGTGATGATATCATTGACCGACCGCTCACTAACCAGCACCCAGAAACCTCACAGAGTTGATAAGAACGCAGACTTGTAATAAATGCGAACACCTGAGTTCAGTCCAGACGATGCCTAGACTGTCAGTTGAAGTGATACAGAGAGTACTGTGTCTACCCTGAGGCCGCGGCGCTATAGATACCGCGAACAATCCATCAGTTCGCATTAGACTTTTGTGCTGAGCTAACCTCCCCGACATTCCAAAGCGCACCCAACCATCCTGGTGGTCAGCGACATGTGATAGTACTCAAACTAAATATAACGCACTAGAAACAGTAACTACTCTTCGTCACTCGATGAGGAAAGATCGGCGAAGGGATCGTAAGGGGCGAATTCGGGACCACAAGATACCTGCCAAACAATTTGATACTACTCTCACTGTTGTTCTGCAGTTAACATCACATCATGGCAACATGTCGATAGATTACATATCCCAACTATGTACAATACGAGCCGATTGGGCTTCTGAATTGTTACTTACAGCCTCAGGCCTGGTCCACAAGGCATATCCAGGATCAGTTTCGAAATATCTTTTGCCATCTAAGAAAGTGCCGTCTTGTCTGGGGTCCTCACAGGGCTCATCCAGTTTAACTCCAACCCAGGTACCTGCCCATCAACAATACAGCAGTCATCCTTCCATAGAATCTGAGGAATCTGCCATGATCCCTTATGAAAATTCTAAGTCATCGGTTGTCAGAGGCAGGTGTATCACAGTGGACATAGGAGCGACCACCCCATCCTAGACAAACGTTATAAGCCTCCCAGACTACTACCTAGACCGCAATGGTTGGGCTGGATATAGGCGACTTCGCCTCGCCGTTGATAGGGCTCCACTTGGCAACGCATCCCTACTTTGATACGGTCGAAGGTAGCTCTAGGAGTTGCTGGACGACCTAGACAAAGTTGAACTCATTGAAAGTAATCAATAGGTCTCATCGATATGGGAATCGTCTCATTGATGACGAGTTGGCAATGAGGTGAGATGTCTAGTGTTGACCAGCCCAACTACCTCCTCCAACCTTGATATCATCCCCCACGTCCTCAGCTTGGTCCCTAGCTCTTAGAGCCGCCCTTTGAAGCTGCTCGAGCATGGTAACCACAGCAGGCGAGGGACTGCTACTATCAGACGATGACATAGTGATCTAAACAACTTCGTTGTATACGTCTGAGACGGTAGATTAGACGAGCCACGAGTACACGCTCATTAACTCTCAACAGTCTACCAAGCAGCGCCCCCAAGCTGACAATTGTGCTGACCATCCGGAGTCCGGACTGTAGCAAAGTAAGCTTGCACTCTGAGCCAACACTGATTCAAGATATGGAACAGCAGAGGCTCCAGGTTCGATCCGAGTGCCCTGCATTTCGTAACCCCACAACTGAGCGCAATCACGACCGAGCGCAACACAACTGAGCGCAAAACTTCATGTAGGAAACTACAAGTGAGCGCGCGCTTTAGCGCGCGCCATAAGGATAGGAGCACCTTTTGAGCGCATAAGCTTGCCGTTGGTTAATCTAACCGATTTTATCCAGGTTCCTTTGCTTCGACCGGGAGAGCGAAACTTTCGCTGCGAAAGGCTGTATCGGGAAGTCGGGAGTTCGATCCCAAATCACGTGAATGTCTTTTACTTCTCTCGGCGCAATTCCGATTTTTGGCTCCCGTTTCGGGCCGTTTCTCAGGTATCCACTAGTGTGAAATTCTCTTCTGGCGAGATCCGGTCATTGACAACGAAGGGCAGACTCCAATGTTTAACGAGACACTGATATCACACTACAGAGAAACCGAGAAGTTGAAGAAACGGGCAAGTGAGACACACACAATCACGTTGTAAAGTTGCCGGCCTTAGAGCGCCTTCGAATATTTTTCGT